TGCAACATCCATAGGTCAGGGGTGGAAGTGGAGGAGGGGTTAATTAAAGAGGGGAGAAAAAAATGTGTAAGTTAGACTGTTGACTTAGAACAGATACTAGCCTCACAGCGAGGAAAAATGATTGACTAGCTGAAGCAACAGTACATACTGACCAGCTTTTAAAATCTTGGCTGTTCCAAGCTCTAGTAGATCCAGAGTAGAATTACCTGCTCAGGAGATTTAATCAAGTTCTGTTTTTAATTTGAAAATAAAATTGGCCTTTTATTTTTAAATATATACTTACTATGGCTTTCTATAACCTCTCTCAAAGAAAATGAGGGAAGAGGTGCTGACCAGGCAGCCTCACACATACCAAGTTCCAAAAGTCACTTTTCAAAAAGGAAAGGGTACCAGTGGCCAGCTGAGACATGACTTTGTTTTCTGTGACCTCACTGCAGGCATGACAAAGCCAGTACCAGGCACATTTCCTCCCCTCCAGTAAGGTGTAGTACTGGTGTAAGGGGAAACTTGCTCAGTGAAACAAAATAGCACAGACTGTCCTGGAAAGAGGTTCCAATGCCAGCCGGGCACCGCTGGCCACCAGCAAGGCACTCCTGTGAGCACGCTGACCCCCATCAACTGCTTTTCTCTTATATAAAGAGATGGAAGAAGTAGATGGAATCTGTTTACAGGTCCACAGGAAAAGTGGTTGGAACATTTACAGTTAAGGCTGTTTGCTAAGAAGAGTTGGACCAAGTCCAAAGACTGGAATTACAGGAAGCCCCATTAGTCCAAAGCACTGGAACTTGTCCTCAGGGTAGCATTCTCACCCTTCAGCCTCCATCCTGTATTTATCTTTCCCTTCACAATAATGCTTGGCCAAATCATCTGATTTCTTGTGTACCAGAGACATTGATCATTCTACCACAAAAGTAGAAATATCTTTCGAAGCCTTTTAACTTGATAGTATATTTATTAGAATAAGATTATTTGTTAAACATCTGGATTAAAATGGTTAAAAGGATTTTCATACAATTTTTAGGCACTATACACACTGTTGGTTACAATAGCATCAGTACTGGGATTTGGGGAAAGATAAATCTCATACATTTTAATGCCTTGATTCATTTGTAACATTAAAAGTAACTCCACCATTTTAGAAACACTAATCCAAACTTAAAGAGACATATACCACTAAATATCCCACACAGTATATTTAAAAATAAATATAGAAATACAACCAGAAGTCTACAAATCATCAGAGTAGACAGACTGAAGCCCCAATTATCATGGCAGTGAAGGGCTCTGGGTAGATTTTGATGGAAACTGCTGAATTCTACACCAAAAGCAAAAACATAATAAAATAACATGATATACACTTTCCGATGCTCATTTTCATAGCAGCAAAGCATGCTTCACATGCACTGCCTGTGAAGGATCTTACAGGGCTCCTTAAGTAGAAACAAGGTCGCCCAGCAAGAATTAAGTACCACCAAGTGTCAAAGAATCCGCAAAATACAGATGGCCAGCCAGTCACGGTGAGGGAAGAGCAGTGCAATTTTCAGTAAGAATGACACCCACAGTCACCAGTTTCACTGTAATTCAGTGTACATGTTTTGATCATCAACATACACAAAAATAGCCCCAAGCACAAAGCCAATCCACTTTGGGGAATAACAATAGTAACAAGAATAAAGACAGTAATATTAATGACGCAAATAGAATTTTGGCACATGCTGTGTTCTTCATCCTTTGTCATAGGTGAAATGCTATGAACAGACACATGGGAAAGAGGCCCAAAAGCAACATGGCATGCCACTGGGCAGGGGACTCGCTCTTGGCTGTTTCCCAAATGCTTAGACACCAGCTGCATGGGTTGGTGTGCTGGGCTGGTTAAGGCCAATGGTAGAGCAGAGCCAACCTGCAAAATCTACTTCCTCAGCATCAGATCTCTTGATAAAAGCATGAACCTGTGTGGAAAGAAACAGACGAAGTGGTGTTAAAAAACCACCAAGAAGGAAAATTCAAGAGCCACACTTGGAAGGAGCTCCTGGAGTCTGTGCCCTTGAGCAGCAGTGGAAGGCAGGAAATCAGGGCCAGCTGCTGGCCCAAAGACCGGCTCTGCCTGGCTCTGCCTGGCTCTGCCTGGCTCTGCCAGTTATACCAGCTGTGAAGCCTTAGGCAACTCACTTCCCTGAGCCTGCTTTTGCAGCACTGTGAAATGAGGATAGCAACTCTGCCTTCAGTGCCTCACAGGGTTGTTAGAAGTAACAAAGGAACTGATGGACTTGAAAGTCTGTTATACCGTACAGGCTTTACAAGGCATGGAAGCTCAGACATTTACAGTATTACTTCCCAACTCCTCCCCCTACCACTACCACCAAAACAAGAGGAGGCAAGTGGAGAGTGGCTTGGGGAGGATGCTAAATACAAGGTAAGCCAGTGAGAAAAAGACCTTGTCCCTGTGAAGGGATAGGCTGGCCCCTTTTTTTACCTGGATTCCCCGGGCTGCAGGGCCACCCCAGCTCTTCCTTTAAACTGATGGGAGGGCAGAGGAGACATATCTGGTATCCTGAAGCTGTGGGGTCAGCTGGACTGTAGTAGTCAAGGCAGAACAGGGAATGGGCTCAGAAGTACTGGATGGATGACTGACGGAGAACATGAATAAACAGATAGTGTAAGAATCTGAAATGGACTTACCATGAGTTGCTTCAAATCAGCTCTTTCTGCGGGGTTTTTTATTAAGCTTAAAGGAAGAAAGATAATGTGAGAACTATAGCCTGGAGCTGGTACTTACTCCAATTACTTCTGTTTGCCTGCCTGTCCTCCCCACACCCTACAGGCTCTGAGGATTGCCTGAGTCTTATTCACCTTCCTGTTCTTAGCACAATGTCATTCCCACAGCAGGTTAATAAATGCCCACAGTAGGTTAATAAGTGCTTGCTGAATTAAACTAAGGTCAAAAGGCAATATGCCAATACCTGTACAGCAAGTGCCAAAAGCCGGAGCTATTTTACCCACTGCTGTTGTCAGGTCAATTAAGTCCTAGCACTCTGGAAGAAGAGCAGCAGTCAAAGGGATCACAGGAGACATGAAAGAGTGAAGCTGTGCTCCCCAAGATGGAGTGAGGAGACTGATAAAACCAGTGTACACTTCCAGAGAACAAGGAGCCAACTTACCATTTATTCACAAAATCTTGAAATTCCAGACTGAATACTCCACTGGGTAGTTTTGGAGGAGGCTGCAAATACACGTCAACATGTAAAAAATGCCTGGCTTCCTGCCCCAGCCATCTCTCCCCTCCTCAGCCCCCACCGCTGGGCAGTGCTGCCCTTATTCAGCCAAGGAAAGGCAGGGGTGAGAGGTCAATTGCTGCCTGCTGGGTCACTCTAGTGGAACCATCGGTCTCAAACCACAGAACTGGGGCCAGGTCAGTATTCTACTACTCACTTGTCTACTGACTGAACAAATCATTGTTCTCTTGAGCCTCAGTTTACCCTTCTATGAAAGAAGGAGGGCCAAATGGATCTCTCGGGCCCTTTCCAGCTCACTCTCTACAATTGTGAATCGTGGAGTGTGGCATGGAAACAAATGGCAATTACTAATAGCAGCAGCTAGGGGCATATGCAAACCATCAGGCATGGTCCAGCCCCGACAGCACCTGTGGAAGTCATAAGGCTAAAATGTATATGCCTTTTCTGAGCCCTGAAGGAACAGAGAAAGGTTAATAAAACATTAACTGGCAGAGGGCTGTGTCTGGAAGAATGTTAGCTGCACACTCAATCCAGGACTAGGGCTGTTTCCAGGCATCAGAACAAGAACACGGGCCACAGCTTTCGTTTTCCCAGGGTGCATGATGGAGGTCACGCGGGGGTACACAAGACAAGGCCCTAAAGCACCCGGCTCTTGTGCTCCATGCAGCTC